CCGCGCCTGCGCAGAGGTGCGGGCCCGGGTGCTCCCGAAGACTGGAGACTCAGGATTCCTCTAACAAGCATGGGCTCCCTGCCAGGCCTGGAGGGCTCGGTGTCTAGTGCAGGGGGTCTCCCGGGTTCTGCAGGCTGCTGTTCCGCAGCCACCCCTCCATGTGCAGGCGCTGGGCTGGGTGTGGTATGGGTGCCAGGTGAGCAGACACACCGGTCCTTTGCTGGAGAGAACAGGGTAAGAGGTGATTGGTAATGGGGGGCCTTGATCAAGACCGCGGTGGGTGGGTAATGCGGTCTGTGTGAGGCTTCAAGGGGAGACAGTATAGGAGGTAGGAAAGGGCTTACTTAGGCTTCTAGAAAACTGAAAGGAGTCCTGTGCGATTGGAGCACGAAGACAGAGCCTCTGAGCAGCGCCCTTACCTAACACCTCTGCCTGCGAATTGGCTTGTTCTCACTCCATCTCGTTTACCTGGTTCTTTCCTAAGAGCAGCATCGAGCTGCCACCATACCAGCGTCTGAATATTTTCTGTCTGCTGCTCCTAGACCTACAGGCTCCGTAAGCACAGGATGTGTCTTCTGAGTTAATGCAGGCAATGTTTTTCTCAAATGTTTTGCACAGCATATCAAGAGTGACTAGCTTCTACCCTGCAGCGTCTGTTTCCTCACCACCAAGCCAGTGCCACTTAATGTTCTGTCCCCGTAGCACCCCACTTTCTGGTGCCCTGTTACAGGGTATAGATTAAGCTTCTGTAGAGACTTCAGACTACATTGGCTCAAACCAGATAAAAGTTTGATTCTCCCATACATAACAGTATGGAGGTCAGCTCCACGGTGGTGAAACAGAGTCCCTAAGTATGGGGCTGGTGGTACCCAAATGGAAGACATCCAGGGACCCCCCCCCCCCAGTTTCCTCTGTCTGATGGCTCCACCTCTCCCTGCTTGTTGTCCTTCAAACAATGGAAAGTAAACAGTGAAGTGACACGATCATACTAACATTTTAAGAGCTTACTTTCCACAGAGCAGCTTTGTAGAAGATGAAAGGGATGGTGGTCAGAGGGAGGGCAGGGCGGCAAGGAATACACAGATCATGAGAGGTGACAGAGGCTCAGAGTGGAGAGTGCGATGCTGACGGTGGACAGACTGGGCTGTGTGTCTGGGAGGAGGAACTGTCAGGTCTTGCTGGGGGAGCGGACATAGAAGGTCGTGTAAAGGGCAGACCGGCTGAGTCCCAGGGTTGTGACTTGAGCACCTGGGTGGTGTTCTTGAGGGAGGACCCGTGTGTGACTGCAGGGGAAAACGAGGCGCCCCTGCTAGGCCATACTGAGTGTGGTGTCTTTGAGACATTTAGCAGAGGTGTGGCAGATACTGCTAGCCATTGAGTGGTTACCGCGTAGATTATCTGAATTTCACAATAGCCTCTTATTAAGCCCACAGTACCAGTAAGGAAACTGAGGTATAGCGGGCTTTACTCGACTGGCCTAAGGACACACAGCTGGCAGGTGGTGGCAGCTGGTCTTCAACCTCACTGTCCGCCTCCAGACCCTGTGCTCTTAACCACTAGGCCGCACTGCTTCCCACGTGGGGCTGGTGGCACTAAAACATGAGGCTTTGAAATGAAGCCCTCGACTGGTCATAAAATGATGAGAAGTGTGATGCCACGGGCTGTCAGGGACGGGGAGCCAGGGGTCGTAACTGGTCAGAGAGAACGGGAAAGGCTTAACGGAAGAAACCTTGAATGATCTTTCAGGTTGGGATTGATGAAGTTAAGTGCTCAGTTTGAGGCTACCACACTTCCTGTCTGTTCTGAAAGAAGGGTGAGGTGGCATCTTACTGCTGTAGTGTATATTGCCTCCTAATTTGGTGGAGTTCTTGTGTATGTTGTATTCTGTCCTAGTCTTTGATCTAATAATCCAGATTGAGTTCAATAAAGTATCCAAGCTCTTGTCCCAAGTTCTCTGTTTTCTCTGTCTCACAACCCCCCTCTCCCTGCTGAATTTGGTTACTTGGGAGGGGCAGCTCCTTTCCTAGCTCTGTTGACAACCTCGTGCCTCTGAACCCTGTGCATTAAAACCACGAGTGGAGTTTCAGGGGCTGCAGCTGCCTGGACCCACCGCTGGAACAGCCTCTCAGGTGGTTCTCATGCCGAGCTAGCGTCGGATGCCTCCCCTGGGGTCTTGTGAGTGTCCTGGTCGTGGTGAGGTTAGCTGATGGCCTAACACATGAGGCAGTTAAACGTCAGTGGTGTTTATCATTTCCCTTGGGTAGCACCTGTTGTGTGCCAAACACTATTCTAGGCTCTGGAACAAGATGGGAGAAATGAAGTCCTTGGTTAGGTTGTCCGTGTGACTCAGGAGCGTCCAGTGTCTGGTTCAGTCCCCCTGCCCATTGCACCACGTGCTTCAGAATAAAATTGCCCACAACACCTGAAGATCCGTGTCTGCTCAGCCTTTTATCCCCGAGAAGACTCTCCTTGCAAAAAATCAAGAGCGAGTTCTCTGGGAGGAGCACACCCGAGCGCCTGGGCTCACGATCCGGTGGGTATCTTTTCTGGCTTCATCTGGGTCGATCCAAGATCTCCTTTTCCAGCTTCTGATTCTTAGGGATAAGCGGCCATTTCCTCTGTTGTAATTTCTTTCCATTCTGGGTCACGGTCCTTTCGAAATAAAACAGAAGGCTGCCTTAGTTCATCGGCTGTTCCAGGTTGGTTTGCTTATCATTTTTCTATCTTTACTTTTTAATACCATCATGGGGTGTAACAAACCACATGTATTTGAAGCTTACGGTGTGGCTCTTTGGCTATTAAAATCATGCTTTTATGCACATTCGTGTTCAAATTTCTGTACAGATATATTTTCATTTCTTTTGGGTGTATGCCTAGCTGTGGAATTTCTGGCTCGTATGGTAACTGTCTTTAACCATTTGAGGAATTGTTTTGCTAAGTTGTTTTCCAACTTAGCTGCCTCATTTTTCACTCCCCTAGCTGTATACAGGGTTTCAGTTTCTCTGCATCCTCTCCAACCCTTCCCTGCTTTATAAAATACAGCCATCCTAAGTGGATGTGAAGTGCTCTCTCTTTGTGGGGCTTTGATTAGCATTTTCCTGATAGCTAATGATGAGCATCTTTTCATGTGCTTCTTGGCCATTTGTGTGTCTTCTTTAGAGAAAGTCTATCAGATCCTTTGTCCATTTTTAATTGGGTTGTTGTCTTTTTATTGAATTGTAGTAGTTCCTTATATAGTCTAAACATCACTCCCATATTGGAGCCGTGATTTGCAAAATTATTCTATTCTGTACCCCAGGTTTCTTCTAAAAGTTACATTTTTAGCTCTTATATTTAGATCTACGTTCAATTTCATGTTAATTTTTATATATGGTATGTATGGGGTAGGGTTCCGCCTTTATTCTCTTGCAGAAGTTTTAAGTTGTCCAAGCACCGTTTGTTGAGAAGACTGTCCCCGCCCTCATCCCCCATTTAAATGCCTCGGCACCTTTGTTACAATCCAATCCACTGTAAATGTGAGGGGGGTTGTTTTTTCCCTAGATTTTCAGTTCCATTCCACTGATTTGTATGTCTGTCCTTAACATCAGTACCACCCTGTCTTGATTACTGTAGCTTTGCAGTAAGTTTTGAAACCTGTAAGAGAGTCCCCTAACTTTGTTCTTTTGGCTATTCTGGGTCCCTTGCATTTCCATATGAATTTTAGTGTCAGCTTGTTCATTTCTGCAAAGAAGTCAGCTGGAATGTTGTTAGGAATTGTGTTGACTCTACAGGTCAATTTGAGCAATGTGGCCAGCTTAATACTAGGTCTTTGATCTACGGACATGTGATGCCTTTCTAAGCGTCACTGATTTTTCTCTGTTGCTTCTCTGTTTACTATGTTAGTAGTTTTCACTCTGATCTTCATTAATTCCTTTCTTCTTGTGTTGGATTCACTGGTTCTTTTGTTTCCAGTGACTGAAGGGGGATGCTGAGGTCACTGTGTGGAGGCCTTTCACGTTTTCTAGTGTAGGCACTTAGCGTACATCTCCCTTAAGTTCTTCAGCACAGATTCCACCGTGTGAATACACCACGTTTTCTCTGTTCTTCTGCCAGTGGACATGTGGCTGGTTTCTACATCTTAGCTGTTGTGAATAGTGCTGCAGTGAACATGGGCATGCTAAATACCTCTTTGAGATGTTGATTTCGTTTCTTTTGGATAAATACCCAGAAGTAGGATTGCCAGATTGTATGGTAGTTCTATTCTTAATTTTTTGAGGAAACTTCATACTGTTTTTCGTATGATATGACTTCTTTTATGACTCAATATAGGAACAGTCTTGGGAAATGTGTATTCCCCTGTTGAGTGCAGTGTTCTGTAAGTGCCAGTCAAGTCAAGCTGGGTGATAGCTTGGTTTATGTCTTCTGTGTCCTTAACAATTTTCTTCATGTTCTGTCTTTTTTTTTTTTTTTTGTATATTCTATCAGCTTTTGTAAGAAGGTGTTGCAATCTCAACATAATTGGAGGTTTGTCTTTTCTCCTTGCAGTTCCGTCAGTTTTGCTTTGTGTAATTTGAAGCTCTGTTATGTGCACGTGCATTTATGAATTGTATGTCCTCTTGATTAGCTGACTCCTTTGTCATTATGAAATCACTTTTTGTATTCCTGGTAACATTCCTCACTCTGAAACGTACTTTGTCTAGTATTAATATAGCAACCCTAGCTTTCTTTTGATTAGTGCTAGCTTTGTATATCTTTTTTCATCCTTTTACCTTTAATCTAGATGTATCTTTGTATTAAAGTGAGTTTCTTGTAGGCGGCCTATAGATTGAGTCTTGGGGTATTTTTGTTATTTAATCTGACAGTCTCTGCCTGTTTATTAGAGTATTTCGTCTGTTTACATTTAATGTTATTGTTGATATAGTTAGATTAAAATCTATAATCCTTCTTTTTGTTTTCTGTGTGTCCTATTATTCTTTATTTACTTTTTCTCGTTTTTGGCATAGTGGAATTTTTTGTGTGTGTGGTTTCTTGTTATTTCCCTTGTTGATTTACTCGCTGTAACTTTGATTTTTGCTTTATGACTTAGAATGTACATCTTCAAATTACACAGTCTGTCATCAGGCGATACTATCCAGTGTACATGTAAGAACCTTACAGTTTACACTTCCATCCCTCTCCTCTCCACTTTTGTGTTGTCCTACATTTTACCTTGACGCATGCTGTCAACCCCATACTAGATTGTTACTATTTCTGTT